CACCACCTTCTGGAATTGGCTGGTCAAGTAGGAACAGAACCACTGCATAGCGGTGCCACCTACTCCTAACCTGGCTAACCTATCCAGAGGGATACCATGGTTGACGGTATCAAAAGCTGCTGAGAGGGTCAGGAGAATCAACAGGGTCATGCTCCCCCTGACTCTCTCCTGGCACAGGTCATCACACAGGGCAACCAAGGCAGTCTCTGGAGGTTCTGCAACTGGGCTTGAAACCCTATTGAAATAGATCCAGATAGTCCGTTTCACCCAAGAGAGCCTGGAGTTGTCCGGCCACATGCTTGTCTTACTCTAGGTTGGTTTCTTAAATATTTGAAAGCTGCTGTCATCATCTTAATCATTTCTTTGTTGGCCAAGTAAGGCCAATGTTTCCAGCCTTTCCTTCTCCATCACTTACATTCCAAAGTCTTGACCAGTTTTTCTTCTTTATTGCTCAGGTGTATGGCAATAGCTGTACAGTGGAGAAATGCTTGCAGGAAATGAAACCACCAAGAAATGCTGATGTAGATTTTGCTTCCACACTAGTGCTCTCTAAGTGACATCATGCACTTGTGCAATTACTATGGAGAATCCAGCTGATGTCTCTATAAACTCATTTCTTGCAATTGCCCCATTTCTTTCTCCTCCCCTCCATGTATCTGCTCCAGTTCCTGGCTCTGACCCCGCCAAGATCTCCCCTATGGCATTTTTTCTGACTTAGAGCAAAATCACAGTAGCCACTTTTCGTGAAGCCCCGCCTGTCTGCATTGCTTGCCATGTATTTCCTGGTGTTACCATCACAGTGACCTGCTCTGCAGCATGGAAGCCTTCGCAGAAACTAACCATTCTGCAGATAAGCTGTTCAGAAGAAGGAGATGAAGTAGCTTTCCTTCCCACCAATCAAGGAGAATAAGGCTATCGAGGGCTACTAGTCATGATGGCTCTATATTGCCTCCAATATTAAACACAACGTGTCTCTGAATGCCAGTTGCTGGGGAACATGAGTGGAGGCTGCAGTCGCACACCTGTCTGCCTGTGGAATATTAACTTGTGTTGGCTGCTTTGCCTCTACAGTCCACCCCTTCCCCCAGTATGTTTTGTGCTCTGTTTACCTTTTTCTTAATAACAACTATTTGTTTTGTGTTGAAGCATAAACATGCTAATTAAAAACACAAGTCTAGTACAAACATGAAGCTCAGCTTTCCACATTAAAAAGCTCTTTTGAAAAATAGGAATACTGGTGGGTGTCCTTTAGCATCTTCAGGTGCCTTTCTTTAATCAACCCTTCCCCAGCCTGATGAGTTGGGCATTAGTGTTATTATTAACATTTCTATATGACGCTCTCTGGGTGGTTTACAACAATAATCATACAATCACACACTCAAGCCACCCATCCAAATTCCAACCAAGCCTGACCCTGCTTAGCTTCCAAAATTTGGCAGGATCAGGCACTTCAGGATATACAGAAGCAATTGGGCATGATGCATGCGAGCTGGGCATGAGGAGTCCTCTAGTCCAACACATCTGGGGAACACCAAGCTTGTTTAAGCTCTTTATATTTCTGCCATCCTGATTGGTATTTAAAGCTACACATGATGGTATGACATATATCTGCTGTACACAAAATGCCCTTTAGGGCAGGGTATTAAACATCCTTCAGCCCAGGCGTCTAATTCAGTGCTGGGTAAGCTTTGGGACCCTTATTACAGTGGTGGACAGAAACAAAGACAAATGATGTTGAGCTTCTCTTTCTCTCCGAATATAAATATATGTATAAATATAAATCTATACTTTCGTGTAAGGGTACAATCCTATGCATATTGAGACAGAAAATAGTTTTACAGTTTCCAGCATTCCACAATGTAAACATGCATACAATTGTTCCCTAAAACTCTTGCAGCCATCTGTCTAAGAAGGGCACGTTAACCTTTTAGAATGGGTGGAAAACATGCAAAAGTTGGGAAAACACCAACCAATTGGCAGTGACGAGAAAGGGTGTAGCCATGTAAGGATATGTAGAGGGATGGATTGGATTGGGGTCCAAGATGGCTTGGACTGGGCTGAACCTTAACTCTTGCTTTATGCAGTGTCCCTTCCCCCTGTGACTGAGTTATACTACATAGTCCCAGGAGGTTCAAATTTGTTCCCAATGTTAAGAAGTTCCCCACAGAGGCACCAACTCTGTTTCTTTACATTGCCAGGATTAAGACTGCCCTCTGTGCATAGGTATTTAATGGCATTTAGTATTTGGGGGAATTTTAAATTTTGTATCATGTAAGTTGCTGTTTTTGTTTTATCTGTACTATGTTTATTGTTTTAATGGAACTGAAAACTGCCCAGAGAAGAATGTATACACTAAATAAAGGAATAACAACAACAACAACAACAACAAAATCTATGTGCCATTGGTGGAGGTTTGTCTCAAGGCACTTGGAATAAGCAGGTGGCTTCTAAGGATTCAGTCCTATCAATTGCAACCTCTCTGTTCACAGAGGCCTCGGAATTTGGAGGCTTCTGAAATTTCTATGTCCTGAATGTCTGAAGTTTCATGATGGGGGTAGCGGTAGGCTGTTGCCTTCTGGTTGTCCTTCATTAGTGACATTTCCTAGATCAGGGGTCGGCAACCTTCAACACTCAAAGAGCCATTTGGACCTGTTTCCCACACAAAAGAAAACACTGGGAGCTGCAAAACCCTTTTGACATCTAAAATGAAGATAACACTGCATATATCATTTTTTACCTCAATGCTATGTATATCTTCATTATGATTTAGCTGCAGCTCTTGTTCAGTCACTAAAAACTGTTATTTTTAATCTTACATTATAAACTAATAGGACTCCTTTCATATATTTTGAATAGGAGAATAGCTTCCTGAAGAGTCAAAGTCAGTGCTAAAGGACTGCATGCATTAAACAGCAAACCCCATAAGTTCGTCAGCAGTAAAAGCAAATGAATCTATCCACATATCATTAAACTTTTGGTTTTCTTCAGAAACTTTTATTTTCTTCGCCTACCACGGGAACTCGCAGATATAGGTGTGTTTAGTGACTGATTAGCAGATAAACAGTGAAGTGATGTGAACTGTGACTGGTCCCAAGCTCAGCTTATATCATTCAGAGGAAGGAGATTACATTTGGACAAAGAATCTTTCCAGTTTCGTGTAACATGAGAGCCTGCAGGAAGCTTGTTCCACTCTTTCCCTGCAATGTCACAATTTACTTGACCTGCTAGCAAATGTTCCTGAGTGGAACCTATTGGTATTTTGTAACTTGGAGCCTTGGTCACAGATCAGCGGCCGTGACAAGTATTTTGGGCCGCAGAGGGATTCAAGAGCCATGTGCGGCTCCGGAGCCACAGGTTGCCGACCCCTGTCCTAGATCAACATTTTAGCCCAACTAGCAATAATGGTTTTGGACTGAGAGGGAATAAGCCTGGAGGAAGCTCAGGGTATCTCATATTGTGACCTCTCTGTCCCATAACTATCAAAATTCTTTAGCCAGCCATGCCAGCTGGAGGTTTTTGAGAACTGTAGGATTTTATCCTATCTACGTATGCTCAGGCTGTCTTTCTAAATTGTCTTATTATATGCAAACTACTGCGAGAATAGTTCTATTGAAGGCAGTTCATAAATGTGGTTATTAAATAAAATGTCTGTGTGTCAGGTAGTGTAGAAAAGCATTAGCGACAACTAATTCAAGATTGAAACCCAGCAGCTATCCTAGTCATGTTCCGTACCAGTTTTGCAGTTTCTGCTAGCAGATTAGCCTGCATCCATTGCTAGTCTAATTTTAAGTCCCAGTCATTTCAATGACCTACTGTAAGTAGGGCAGACATTAGATACAATGCATAGTCTCTTCATTTGGGCAGGCTCTCTGTGTAATTTGGAGAAACTCTAGGAATGCTAAAGCTCTGTGTAGGGTGAATCCCTACAAAGGGGCAATCCTATGTAAGTTTGAATTAGACAAAGCCTACAACTCCCAGCATGCCCCAATATGGATGCAGTGGGCATGCTGGGAATTGCAGGCATTTTTCTGGCTGAACTTACATAGGCCAGTGTCTTATCTTCCCAGTAGATGAAAACTGCATTTCCCAGAAGGCATTGGGCCTGCGGTTCGTATTTTATGCATCCTGGGTAATGTAGTTCATTAAAAATGTAAACTAACTCGACTGAATTAAAAAGCGACCATTGCACACCACGCTCGAGCGCGGTGTACATCATGAGTAGTAAAATGGCAGACAACTGCTTGATGGAAAATATAAGCATCACTTTGCTCTAACCCTACGCTTGTAAGTCTATTAAAGATATATTTGAAAGATCAACATTTCCCATTCGCATTTGCAGGAAAGTCCCTGTAGAAATATATTCTCCGCCTTTTCCCTTCCCGAGGGAAAAGGGTGGAACAAAACCATACACGTTCAGCTTGTAATGCTTTCTGGAAATTGTAGTTTGTCTATCAATAGGGACTGTGGTGTAATTATAGCTGCTGAACTACATTTCCCAGCGTGCTTCACGGAAACGCGACCTACACGGGTTACCATTTGAGAGACGTATTCATAACGCGCACTCCGCTCCCCAAGGAGCTCTCGCGAGATTTGTTGGGTATTCCACTCCCTCCGACTCTAATTTGGGCAGCGCGCGGTGGCTGATGGGAGAGACGTTCCGTTTCCCTTGGTTCTTCTGCACCCGCGACCAGCTGTCTTTTCTGGACTGCCTTGTGCGTAAATCTGATTGCGGCGAGAAAGACTGAAAGGAGAAAAAGAACCTTGGGAAAATAACAAGAAAACTCCGCGTTAAGGCACCTATCTCTATCGCTCCCGCACTCAATCCCAGAGCGCTTTAGAAAATGGCGGACGACCTTCGCGCTACTTGCCAGGCATTTCGGGATCTGTAGTCTCTTCTCTCGCGGAGCCTCATCGGCGTGAAGGGCCTGGTGCCGAAGAGAGACTACACTGTCCAGAAGGTCACGGGCGAGGCGAGGGACAGACGGGAGCGAATTGGACGGGAGGGGGGGCGGTTCCAGCTTTCCTCCCCTCCCCCTTCCCCTCACCCTCCGCCTGCGCCGCGGCTGCTGCTGCTGCGTCGGGTGAGGGAGCGCGAGCGAGTGGCGCAGGCAGAGCGAGCGGCCTTCCCTGGGCAGCGTCAGGGAGGGGGGTGAGAGGCCGACTAGGGCGGGGGGGGGGTCGGCCGGAAGCCAGCAAGCAAGGGGGTGCGGGCGGCCTGGCCTCGGGAGGGAGGGGCCGGGCGTGCTTCGCGGCCACGGTGCTCTGGCGCGGGAGGGGGCCCTGGTGGTATTGAAGCACGGGCGGGTGAGGTCTTCCCGCAGAGGATGGGGCGGGGGCGGCAGAAAGGGTATTGAAATGGGCGTGAATGGGGATAGCAGGCTCCGCCAGGCCTTGAGATGGAGGGGCGTAATGGGTGAGAGTTCTATCTAGGGGAGGCCCAGTATGAACTGATAGGTGCAGCTTGGAACTGCAAAGGGACGGCTATCTAGGCTTCGTTGGCTGAGGTGGGGGTTGTGGAGTTTTTGATAGAAATGGGAGGGGGTTGCCAGGTAGGAGGAAAGGCCCGATCAGGGCTTGAAAGGGTATAAGTAAGTTATAGAACGGTCGATATACTGAGTTAGAGAATGACGGTATGTAAAAGTGAGGTTTGTAGTCAGATAAAGGGCTGTTTTGGACTGGTGTTCAACCACATGAAGTTACAGTGGGAGGATTACTGCCAATTAGAAGATGAGGTGCTGCAGTCTTATGTGTGTTTACTTGGAAGTTAGTCCCACTGAACTTTCAAGAATTGTGTGTGGTACTGAAATCTTAGTTGGAAAGAAGGGGTTGGAACTTGGGGTGGAGTGAAACAGAAGATGTGTATTTGCGTATAAGAAGTACAGTTCAGCACTGTAGTACTTGAGGCATCAGGTACAGCTTGTTGTTGTTTGCAGCTATGGAACATGATAAGTAAATATTTTCTGAGCAGATGAGAAGTCTTGAGGATTGCGGCAGGCACTGTGGACTGGAAATTAAGTTCCTGAGACTTAGTACTTGGGTTTATGCTAAAAAGAAACAGGTAGCTGGGGAGTGATGGCAGTTAAGGATTTGTGTAATGGCACATTTTCCCTGCGAAGCACATATTTTGGGGATCCTTAGATCAGAAAGAGGATACACATTTTGTGGTGGAAGATTTGAGTAGTCAGGAAAAAGTGTCTAGCTGGAAAGATGGTGAAGGATGGGGCAGTTCTCTATGGGGTAGGTGGCAGGATTTGAGAGTGTGGTTTCCATAATGGGGTAGGAATCCTGGGAGGCATACAATGTGCGAGAGGCTTTAGCAAGGGGTGAAGTTGAAATTGCATACATGAAGGAAACATGCAAGCGGTTGTGAAATAAAAAAGGGGAGTGATTTATGGGACAGAATGGGGGATAATATCATAACTTGTTTATGGGAAGGATGCTGTATTTCATGACCTCTTTAGGTTTCATTCTGTTACATATGGCTTGTTGCTCTTGATTGTAGGGAGGTAATGCTGGTATGTGAAAAACATTTGGTGAGATGCTGGCAGCTCTTGCTATATTCTCTGTGTTTTTGCTCAGGTATCAGAGGCACCAGTGGTGCTAGCCGGTGAGAGCCATGTACAATGGGATAGGACTCCCCACTCCCCGGGGCAGCGGCACCAACGGTTACGTGCAGCGCAACCTCTCGGCCGTCCGCCACAAGAAGGATCGTACCGACTACAAGTCAGAAGAGGAGTTGAGGAAACTGGAGTCGTCTCTGGTTAAAAAACCAAACCAGGACATCCTGGACCACGAGCGCAAGCGGAAGGTTGAGCTGAAATGCTTAGAGCTGGCTGAGCTCATGGAAGAACAGGGGTATGTTGTTATAAGGTGGCAGAAGACACTTGCAATATTACAGGGAAAATTTAGAGCTTAAGTGGGGACAGCGACTAGTGACTGTTGGAATGAGCACTCTGGCAGAGTGCTTGTGTGTGCTTTGCCCCCAGAATTTTCACTTTGAACTGTTGGCCACTCTGATCTTTGCAGTGGATCTAGATTATTGATTTAAATAGCTTTGAATAGATAGCACAATGAGGCTTTTGAATATACATGCTGGATGCGGTAAACATGATATTATGGCATTGGCTGCATGCCTTTGTCCATGCTGAGTTAACACAACCCCTGTTGCTTTCAGTGGGACTTGTTCATATTGAAGTGATTTACAGCACCATCTTGTATTTCAGTGATAAAAAGAAGCTGAAGAGAGAAATATGAATAAATCTAATGGAACTTGGCTCAGTCAGTTCCATAAGGATTGCAAGTATAGTATTGTTTGGAAAGATAGCTCTGCTGGATATCAGGAGTGAAAATTGCGTTTTTTATTTGAAGTGGAAAATGATCCTTCTTGTAGCAGTGAAAGTACACCCCATTTATGTATCTATGCAACATTTAAGACTGGTATCTCAAAAAACTTGTAACAGTCCTGTAAGGCAGGTTAATATTATCAGGAATTGCTTATGGTGGATTGGGATCTAGCTAGTTCTTAACAAGAGAAAGGATTCGAAACAAATTTATTCTGGTTTAAGCTTCAGACATTGTTGTTATGCTAGGTGAAAGTAATTGTCAGCTTTCAGGATGAATTATTGGAGCTGTTGCAATTCATGCATTGTGGAAACATTTTGTGGTGTCTGATTAGAGAAGAGCTATTTGTGCATTAAACATCCGTCTGGTCAGCCTTTTACGTTATCTTCTAATGCCTTACAATCCAGGTATGGTGAAGGGGAGATCCAGGAAAAAGTAGCCACTTTTCGGATAATGCTTCTAGAAAAGGATGTAGCAGTGGTCAAGGAGGGAGAATCCCAGCAGAAGCCAACGTAAGTAAGGCATCTTGGAGGATCTTGGCCTTTTTGCCTTGGCATATTGTTTCCTTTTGTTCCCATGCAAGGCTTGTTGCTCTGCAGCTTCCATCCCTCACAATCACATTCCTTCCCCTCAGTGCTCCAGTGGCATCTCTAACTGTTTTCACTTCTCTGCAGTGTCACAGAGACCCATCAGCTAGCTGAGGCCAATGAGAAAAAGAATGAGAAGCTTCGTGCTGCCTTTGGAATTAGCGACAACTATGTGGATGGCAGCTCCTTTGACCCCAACCGCAGGGCCAAGGAGGCAGCAACAGCTGCAGCTGCCAAGCAGCTACAAGAGCAGCAGAAGCAATACAGGTATCTCAGTAAAGAAATGTGCTTCTCTTTTCTTTTTTGCTCTTCATGGATTACAAGGCAGTGCTTTTAAACCTTCTAATGTTTAAGAGTAATGCAAACAGCAATATTTTAAACAAAAGTCTTGCGTTAAGCAATGTAGAAATCTAATTTATGGTGTTGAGATTGCATCAGATGAAACCTATTTCAAAACGTATCTAAGCTGTACTATGCTGTGATATATAAGGTAGTTAGTGCATATTTAAAGCTATGAAGTTTTGATATAGAGCTGTCATTTGGCTAATGTACCTGTGTTACACTTCTAAAGTCTGTTACTGTGGTTTTGTTGTGTCATGAATTCTTAGTAAACATTTTCTTGTTTGTGGAGGAAGATCAGATTTTGAGGTAAAAGAGACTATTCTTGCCTGCTACCTCAGCTGCTTGCAGAGAAAAATGGGAAGTCTGTCTTTTGGGACTTCATCTTTCACCACTTGTCTTTATCTCCTCAGTCTTGTCAAAGAATCTAGCAGCTCCCGTTCACCATCCCCAAAGCAGAAGAAGAAGAAAAAGAAGAAAGACAGAGGCAGGTGGGTGGGTGAACCAAGACATGAATTCCCTCTGCAGGGCTGAGATGCAGGGAAAAGAGTTCTGGGTTGAGTTTGGCATTAGTGAGAGGGAGAGGGCAAGGGAGCTTGGCTTTGGGAATCCACCTTAGTCCTTTTAAAAGGCATAACATGCTCTTTTTATTTGATCCTTCAAGATCTGAAAGCAGGTCACCTTCTCGAAGAGAGAGGAAGAAAAGCTCAAAGAAGAAGAAACACAGGTAAAGTGCCTATTGTGGGGTAATGACTGGCTTAGGGAGTGAGAGATAGAACTGGAGCACAGGATCTTTTTCACTTATTTTCATTCATCTAATTGAGAACAGATGTTTCTCAGAACTTTTTTTTAGGGAAAAGATTCACATGGTTATTAGGGGGTCTTAGGTCTGTGAGCATCACCTGTCCTTTTGTCTCCATATGTTTTTTCCTGACCTGTCCGCTTAAGCATTGTGTGCAGGACTGGAATAGGGTGGGGACTCACACTCCTAACCCAGCACAGGTTCTTGCCAGGTTAATATTTCTGTGCATTGTGTTTGGCTATCTGGCAGCCACCTGTATCATACAAGTCTTTGTTTCTTTTTTTTTTTCTTTCAGATCAGAGTCCAAAAAAAGGAAGCACAGGTTAGTCTTGGTAGCTATTTCCTAGAGTGCTTTTTGGTGGAGGCAGGAGTCTGCAATTTTGCTTACCGTTCTCAAACATTCTTACTCAATGGTGAGCAGAGTTCTATTGGTGAGCTGCTTTGTTGAGTGGATGCTAAAATCTGGTTCTCCAGCATCCAAACCTGACAGGATTGGCTATGCTACATTGATTTTCTGTTATGACAAAGGTGGCAATATTATTCTAGGGATCAGCTTTTCTTGGAAATCAGTAGGGATAGAAAGTGGGGTTTCTGCAGTAGGTAATGTAGGAATTTAGGGTACACGAGCCTTTTTGGTCTTTCCAGAATGTTTCAAAGCAGTATTATTTTCCCAGGACTCCAAGTCCCAAGAGTAAACACAAATCCAAGGAAAAGAAACGAAAACGGTAAGGGCATGTTTTCTGTCACTGCTACTTTGCTCTCTCCTTGCTGAAGCTGACTTTCTACACGCCTCCCACTCATGATTCTAATTTTGTCATAGGTCCACCAGTGAGTCTACATCTCAGAAAGGCCGCCGCGATCGTTCTTCTTCTCCGGATGGTTCTTCCTCCTCAGATGCTTCTCGCAGCAGGTATGGGTTGCAATGGAGATCCAAAAGCTGGGTCTTTTAACTAGATTACAGATCTGGGAAAATAAATAACTTAACTCATGAATAACTTAAGCATCAATGTATGATCATTACTCATTTACAGGTCAGGCAGTGTCACTGCTCAGAAACGGGGGGGCTTAAGACGCCAGAGCAAATCTCCCTCTGCCTCTTCACGAAAACAAGGAGAAACTGAGGTGGCTTCCAAGAATCTTCCAGAGCGAGATCGTTCAACTTCTTCTGAGCCTGCCCGGCGGGGCAGGAGCACAAGCCCTCGAGAAAGCAGAGAAAAACGGGAGGTAGGGGGAAATTTAGAACTGCAGGATTCTATTAGAGGTGGAAGGTGGAAACTGTGAAGTCTGAGTTTCTGTTCTAATTGTTGTTTATTTGCCCTCCCATTGTTCAGAAAACTTTGTCCAAGCATTCTCCGGTACATGAGTCCCGGCAGCGTTCTGCTAGCCCATTATCTCCTAACAAAGAGAAGGAAAGAGAGAAGGAGAAGAAGTCTGCTTGGCATGGGGGTCGTAAAGCTACTCCTTCATTTGAGCTGGATTCAAGGTTCAAGCATTGCTCACCAGTGCCGAATGATCCTACTCGGGAAAAAACCTTTGGGCACAACCGTCCTTCCTCTAAGGAGAGGAGGTCACCTCCCAGAGACTCCCCACAGTCTAAGAAGCAATCAGAAGATCGTAATGGAACTCTCCCACCATCCAAGGCGAAGATGTCCCCTGACCAGAAGGAGCAGCTTGCAGCTTCCTCATCTTCTCCTTCTTCAAAGGCAACTGAGACCAAGTTGAGGAAGGACTCCCATGATGGGTCTCCACCCCAGCGTACCCATTCTCCTTCAGAGAGTGGTAGCTGCTCCTCTTCCTCCTCCTCCTCTTCTTCCCCTGCAGACAAGCCAGCCACAGTTTCCCGTAGCTCTTCCCCAGAGGAGCCTCCCAAAAGACAAGACAAAGAGAAGGCATCTACACGCAGAGAGAGGTCTAGCTCATCTCCTGAAATCTCCCGCTCTGGGCAAAAGCAACCTGCCAAGGCCACATCTCGACGTGAACTGTCGGGCACCCCTCCAGCCAAGAGCACCAAGTCTAGGGCCAGTCGGAGGGACAAATCTCTCTCCCAAACACCCATTACTCGCAGAGGTAGATCTCGGTCCCGCACGCCACCTAAGAGAGGCAGGTCACGCACACGCTCACCACCAAGGAGGGGGAGATCTCGTTCTGCTCAGAGACGTGCCCGTTCCCGTTCCCGCACTCCTCTAAGAAGAGCCCGTTCTCGCAGCCCTCAGTGGCGGGGCCGATCGAGAACACCCCAGCGGTGGGGCAGATCACGTTCACGTACACCACCAAGGTGGGGACGATCTCGTACACCTCAAAGGCGTGGCTGGTCCCGATCTAGAACTCCCCAAAGGCATGGATGGTCTAGAAGCAGAAATAGTGGAAGATGGGGGCGGTCAAGAACACCACCAAGAAGGGGGAGGACACGTTCAAGAACCCCACCAAGAAGAGGCAGGTCTAGATCTAGAACTCCACCCAGGCGAGTAAGGTCTCGATCCAGAACTCAAACAAGAAGAGGCCGATCTAGAACAAGAAGCCCTCCCAGGAGAGGGCGGTCTAGCTCTTCACCGAGGAGAGAGAAATCTTTGATTTCAGCCAGGCGAAGCAGGTCTGGGTCATCTCCAGACCGGAAGGTTTCCAGGATTTCTTCAAGGAGAAGCCGATCTGACTCTTCCCCTAGAATGAGAGAGAGGTCCCGAAAAGCACTGAGACGTAGCCAGTCTGGATCATCTCCTGAATCCAGAAGCAGATTGCGAGTGTCTCCCAGACGCAGTCGATCTGTATCACTTCCAAAGACAAAAAAGAAATCCCAGTTATCTCCTCGGAGTAGTCGTTCAGGTTCATCGCCAAGAACAAGGAAGAAAAAATCAAGAACGCCTCCACGGCACAGTCGCTCTAGTTCTTCTCCGAGGCTGAGAAAGAAATCCAGATTATCTCCAAGGCGAAGCAGATCCCGTTCTTTTCCAACCCCAAAAAAGAAGTCTAGATCTCCTGCCAGGCGTAGCCAATCTAGGACACCTCCAACACTGAAAACTAAATCTAGAATGTCTCCAAGGAGCAGATCTGGCTCATCTACAAGACTCTCAAAGAAATTTGATGCCTCTTCAGTAGTTGATGAGAAATCTAAAATGTCTTCCAGAAGGAGCCGATCTGGTTCATCTCCAGCATTAAGGAGGACATCTAACTCTCCTGCAAGACGTAGTAGATCTGGGTCATCTCCAGGTGTAGAAGAGAGATTGACAAGAAGACGAAACAGGTCTGAGTCTTCTCCAGAAGTGAAAACCAAATCAAGATCAGGGTCATCACCAGGGCTCAAGAAGGAAGTGATGTCATCTCCAAGGCAAAGCCGGTCTAGTTCTTCTCAGTCATCAGTAAGAGAAAACTCTCTATCACCTTCAAGACAAGCAGCCTCCTCAGAGCCAAAGTCCACACCTCCATTGCAGCGAAGCAGGTCTGGGAGATCTCTAGCGGGAAAAGAAAAACCTAGATCACCGCACCCAAGGCAGAGCAGGTCTGGATCACCTCCAACTTTAAGGGAGAAATCTGCATCACCAAGAAAAACTGCGTCTGGATCTTCTGCAGAACTGAAGAAGAAATCAGTTTCACCAGTGGAAAAGTGCAAAACTGATTCTTCGGAACTGAAGAAATCCAGGTCATCACCAAGGCGAAGCAGGTCTGGCTCCTCTCCATTGATCAAAGAGCAGTCTAGATCACCACCTAGGAACAAGTCCAGATACTCACCTGACGGAAAATCTGCATCACCTTTGAAGCAAGTCAGGTCTGGTTTCTCCCCTCCAACTATGAAAGAAAAGTCTAAGTCACCTACCAGGAGAAGTGGGTCCCACTCCTCTCCTGAACTAAATGGCAAGTCTAAATCTCCACCACATCAGAGTAAATTGCAAGAAACAAAAGCCAAATCTGGATCACCTCCACGGCACAACAAATCTGGATCTTTGACAGTATTGGGGAGAGCTACATCACCATGCCAGAAGAGTAAATCAGGTTCTTCTCTCTCTGGGAAAGAGAAATCACAGTCACCCCCAAAGAAAGGTCAGCCTGGGTCATCACCAGTACTTAAGAAGTCTGAGATTCCATTAAGGCGAAGTAGATCTGGATCATCCTCTTCCTCCTCTTCCTCCTCGTCTTCCTCCTCCTCTTCATCATCATCCTCTACATCATCATCCTCTCCAGAGGATGATAAATCTCGTTCACCCCCAAAATTAAGTCGTTCTGCTGCATTATCAGTTAACAAGAGCAAATCTATATCATCTCCAACACGCAGCAGGTCAGATTCCTCTCCAGAACCAGAGAACACCACATCGGCAGCTGTTGCAAAGCACAACAGACCTGGAACTTCTCCAGAATCAAGAGAAATGTCAAGAGCTGCAGTGATGGGGCCTAGATCACCTTTGGAGAAAAAAGATGTGCCCAGAGATGCATGTAGAAGGAGTAGGTCAGGGTCATATTCTGGGGTTAAAGAAAAGTCAAGAACACACTCCAGTGAGAGTAGTTCAGAGTCCTCCCCAGAACGGAAAGAGAAATCTGTAAGCAGGTCTGTCTCACCTGTGAGACCGGCTGTAAAATCAAAAACTCCTCCAAGACGTAGAATGTCGAGGTCACCACCCAGGCCTAGAGCAAAATCCAGAACACCACCAAAGCGTGGCAGGTCTGGATCACCAGCAAGACCCAGAGTGAAGTCCAGAACACCACCAAGACGGCGTAGGTCAGGGTCCTCTCCCAGACCCAGAATTAAGTCCAGAACGCCACCGAGACGACGCAGATCTGGATCATCTCCCAGACCCCGAATGAAGTCCAGAACACCACCTCGCCGCCACTGCAGATCTGGATCATCTCCAAGACCCAGAATGAAATCTAGAACGCCTCCACGAAGACGGAGGTCTGGATCCTCTCCACGAGCCAGAGAGAAGTCTAGAACACCAATTACAAGAAGACGGAGATCTGTGTCACCACAGAGTCCTAGGCGGAAATCTCGAACTCCTCTGAGGCGTGGAAGATCCAGATCAGTCTCCAGAGAGAAGTCAAACACCAGCGTGCATCCACATAGGTCCCAGTCATCATCCCACTGTGATAGACCTAGAAGTTCCTTGCGACGGGGGAGATCTGGCTCTCCCTCACGGAGGAGTCGTTCCCGCTCATTCTCCAGAAGAAGAGACAAATCTAGGGGTTCATTACGGAGGGAAAGGTCTGTCTCCTCTCCAGGTCGAAGCCGTTCAAGGTCCCCTTCTCATCAGGACAGATCTCGCTTCCCATGGAAGGGTGAACGCTCTGTCTCCTCACCACGCAAAGGTCATTCCCGATCACCAGCACGAAGAGAGATGTCAAAGCTGTCTCCACAACGCTCTGCTACCAGTCGGAATGCATCTCGTTCACCGCCCAGGTTAGATGCTTCACGTACCACAGCAACCTACAAAGGCACTGGGTCCAGAGCATCTCCTGACTTTCGGTCGTCTCCTGTGAGGAAGCATTCCAGGTCAGGGTCTCGGGAAATGTGCACCTCCCCAGGAAGGAAATCTCGCTCCCCCCCTGTGCTGGAGAGATACCCCAAGTCTGATGTTCAGGAGAAGCCAGCAACTTCTTCCCTTTGGCACAGCAAAAGTAACACTGCAATTCCTCACACTCCAACTCCACCTCGTGAGGGATCTCCTAAACCACGGAAAAACCTGTCTCCTGCTCCATCCATGCTACGGGAGTCACCTACCGTGTCAAAGAATGGGTCTGCTGTCGTCCGAGATAGCCCAGGAGAGAGGAATCAGATGGTCCATTCTGCCATAGTTCGAGATGATACAATTGCTGGTACTTCTGTGGCGTCAGGGAGAAGCAGTTCCCATGCAGGCTCCCCTTCTCCTGTTAAAGCTACATCGTTGTCCCCCTCCTCCTCCTCTCCCTCCTCCTCTGCTTCCTCTAGCCCCTTGCCAGCTCTGGTTTCTCTGCTAGTCCCACCCTCCAAAGAAGAGGATTCTGCACCGGAAGGGAAAGTGGCTGATAGGCCTGAAGTGCACCTCCCCACCCTTGAGGCTGAGCCACTGTTGACTTCTGCCGCCGTGGAGAACAACGCCCGGAGCAGCTGTTCCACAGCCCCTCAGCTGGCTCTTCCCTCCCCACCGCCTTCTGCCCCCTTGAAAGCAAAGAGAAGTTCATCTGCTTCGTCCACCACTTCTTCATCATCATCATCCTCTTCGTCATCCTCGTCCTCGTCCTCTTCTGATTCTGAGTCCAGCTCGTCTGGGTCCAGCCCCCATGATCAGCCACTAAAGGACATCGAGGCTGAGATTGTACTGAAGCAGTAAGAGCATGTCTTTTTTCCCCTGCTCCCCCAAAGTAAAGCTAGCAGTGATTGTTGCCCTTAGATCAAGCTGGTCCCCATGTCTAGGTTGATAGTGCTGCTATGTTTGCCTTTTTTATCCGTACCCTTGGCCCCACTATCCTCACTCTAATTCTTAAAATTTATGCATTCTTCTCCATAAGGAAAATACTAGGATCGTGGAGAATCGCATTAATTGTCGTTCTTGTGGACTGGAGTGTCCACAACCTTTCCCACCAGATGTTTAAAGTGCATGTTGGTGTCTGCATGTCCGTGGTGAATGCAGTGGAAAGCAAGGGGCACACAGGCACCTCTGTGCATATGCCAGAGAAGCAGTAACATCATCTTGCAACTTTGCTGTGCTGACTGGACACATTCAATCTTGGCATATTTCTAAACCAGCCTTGTAAATAAGCCTACCAAAGTGAAGAGGCTTGGTAACCCGAGTTGTCATAATGGTTAGGCGGGAGGGGGTTTCACTTAGCCAAGGCTAGTGTAGGAACCAGTTGGCTGGAGGACTCGTGCTGGAGTTTTCTGTTCCTGCCTTAAATGTATAAGCCATAATGTGACTTGTGCAGCTTAGCTATCACACATTTTTGCTGCTAATGGTCACTACATTGCCTTTTTAAACTTGGCAGGGACATGTCATAGGTCGTAACTCTTGCGTTTTGTGGCCTTCTGTCCCACTGTCTACACCTTTTCCCTGTATGTCTGCCAGCTTAGAACAGCTGGTGCAGCTGTTAGTCTTTCAAGTTCCACATGACTCTTCCTTGGGTTTGTTTGCTTCATCACAGATAACCCTCTGAAAGTCTTCATTCTGCCCATAGACTTTTAAATGCTGTGATTATGGTCCTTGTCCACCAGGGGCCACCCTTGTTTCACTTCACTGGTAGAACAAGGCATGCTGTCAATCTTTGCACTCTGCCTCACTACCAAATATGCCAGATCCTTCCTGCAGCAAAGCAACTCTCATGAATCTGAATGCTAGGCTCCCTTGGAAAGGATGTAGTTCTGTGAATTAAATGTGTTTGCCTAGGCTTATATATTTTCAATGATTATGCTTTCAGGATTCCAGTGTTTTTGTTATTGCTGTTACTACTAATGGTACTACTATCACTATGTATTATATAATTTAGTAGATTTGGATTTTTTTGGTCAAGGTTAGCATTGCTGAGCAAGGAAATAGGAGTGTAGTGAATTGGAGAGAGGTAAGAGGTGGCAATAACAGGGGTTCTGGCAAAAGGCCGATCTTAGAATCCTTCGTGGAGTGACTGTTTTGATTTAGTTTTCAGCAAACCTGAGATCCTCTTGAGATGACATTTTGCTGGTGAGAGTGCTGCTCCTGAGTTAATCCAGTAACGCTTGAAGTTTTCTGCTCCCTGAGCTTCTGTGCTGCCCTGGTTAGCAACCATGCAGGGGGGACAACCATACCCGCTTTGGGAGATACAGTTGCCAAGATGTGGAAGTGGGAGATTGTAAAGGTTTTATGATTGAGGAACAGCACCAACCATAGCAATAACCTGAGTTTTAAGGACTTGATGGGGATGATTTCCTGCACTTTTCCCATAGACAGCATGACTTGTGAAGTACAGTGGTACCTTGGCTCACGAACTTAATCTGTTCCAGGACTCTGGTTGTGACCAAAATGGCCGTGAGCCAAGTTAAATTTCCCCATAAGGTTCAATGTAGATAAGGTTAATCCGTTCTGTAACTTTTTTTATCAGAAAAAATGTGAAGCAAAGTGACAAAGAACAACAAAGATCAAGACCATCTCCCCACCCCGCTCCCTGCACGACCGCGATCGAGCCCGTTGCACATGCCTGTCATCCCGATGTGCTCGGGGGGAGAAGTGTGCAATCATGGGTGTGCTGGGGGGGGGGGAGATGGGAGTGATCGAGCTGGGGGTGGGGGAGATGGCCGAGATCACGGTTGCGCTCCTGCAGGAAAGGGGGGGGCAATCACGGGTGCGCTCCTGCAGGAAAGACAGGTGTGATCTCGGCCATCTCCCCCCCCCCCCCCCCCCCCCCCCCCAGCACGATTGCGGCCATCTCCTTACTTTGGGGTGGGGTGGGGAGATGGCCGCAATCATGGTCACCACCCAATGTGGAGTTCGTGACCTGAGTGAAAATTTTTATGAAATTTTTGTTCACAATCCGATTTGGTCGTGAACTGAAGCCGAGGTACCACTGTATGTGCTTTTTTTTCTTTTTGGAGGAAACAAAACAGTTGACTTTTTGTTTTGTTAACCTGCTAAGGTCTCTTTAACAGAACCATTCTGCTTGACTCAGATCCATAAAGTCCTTTTTCTTCCCCACTGGCCCCTTTCTCCCTGCTCCAGGCCACCAAGCCCAGTGCTGAAGGAGGGCCCACATGATGAACGGCCTCTAGAAGTGGGCAAGCGTAAGCGTCGCTCTCGGAGTTCCAGCAGCTCCAGCAGCAGCTCTTCCTCCTCCTCCTCATCGTCATCATCGTCTTCCTCCTCCTCCTCTTCAGCCTCTTCCTCATCTTCGTCCTCTTCCTCTTCAGCATCGTCGCCTAAGACTGGGCCCCAGGCCGTCGCCAAGGTGGTTCCCAAAAAGAAACCGTCTCCCGAGAAGAGAAAGTAAGCACTTGGCTATTGAGGAAGATCTGCATTTGGCTGCCATTCCTTGTTAGCAAGGATTCTCTTAATGTGGGGGCAGACCAATCTCCTCCCTGCTAGTCTGACCTGCCTCACTGAGGGGCTGTACTTGTGTCCTCCATATTAACTGTTTAGCTTGGCCAGTGGCAGTGAATACCCAGTGCAAGTGTTATGAGGAGAACGAGGCGGGCAGAGGGGAAGCATCCCTGAGACTGGCAAGTGGATAAGGAAGATAGAGAAGTTTGGGGGTGACTTATTGAGGAGGTGTGGGATGGTGCTGGCAGATTGTACTGGGATGTTACAAGGAAGGTTGTGTATAAAAGCACCTAATCCTGTGCAAAGGAAAGTAAAACCATTTACTAAGAGAAGTTGAATGGGCAGAGTCCTGTCTTTAATAATGCACATGATAGGGAAACTTGTATCTCTTGACTGGTGCTGCATTTTCCTGCTAGCCACCAACAAGGACTAGGAATTCTCTTGTGATCTGAAGCTTTAACCCAGGGTTGATTGTTTGTGGCCCTTCAGATCTTTTAGCCTGTGACTCCCATGATCATTAGCCAGCAGTGGTGAAGTCTGATGGGAAATGCAGGCCAGAAAATTTGGAGGACCACAATTTGCCCACCCCTGCAGGTAAGTGTAACTTCTAGGCAACTTGCATAGCCACCACTCGGCTCTAGTTTCTGAGATTCTGCCTGACATTTCCCACACAGGCTGATGCATTTGCAGCTTTAAGGATTGTGATAAGATCAGTGTCAGTAGCATGATTGGGCCCTCTCTGCTAATGGCCTGCTGATCCTGCTCCTCCTGAACTGTTCAACCTCCTGCTGGCCCAGAGGTGTTGCTGAATGAATGGTATCAGAAACAAGTGTGAGGAGCAGCTTTGCGGCAAGGAAGCAGTGCCAGTGAGGAGGCCAAGGCCCCCTGCCAAAGTCATGCTGAAGTTTCTCAAAACCTAGAGTTGGTCCTGGGTTCAGACTTTTTTGTAAATGAAAGGATTCTGAACACAGTCTCCTAGTCTGCTGTGTGTGTGCTGCAGTGCAGGCTTTTGTGAAATCTTCACTGCTGTCCACTGCTTTGTTTTAGAGTTGAAAATGTGCTGTCCAGTGGCGTGTGGTGAATGCCACTCTAACTAGTCTCTCTTCTTTCTCTGCCCTGAGGTCACGCAGCCCCCGAAAGCCTGCTGACTCCTTGCGTGACTCGCGCTCCCTCAGCTATTCTCCAGTAGAACGGTGTCTGGCTTCCCCTCCGGTCCAGCCACCCTCTGCTCCAAGGGACCGACGCAGGTAGGTATCTTTTAAACCTTTCTGCCTTCCTCTCATATAGGGTCCTTGTGGGTATTAGGGATCTCTTTAGGGTGGGGAAGAAGAGAATATGGGAGAACTTAGAGAAGCAGGACACTTGCATCAGTTCTGTGGTCTCATTCCTTTGCCCAGGGACAGGTCCAGGGACAGATCCTTGCAGAGAAACAGGCGAAGCATCAGCAGGTCTCCAGGACGGAAACGGCGGCGTAATTCTCCCAGCTCCCGACCCCCCCGCCGCAGAACTTCAAGGTAATGACTAAGTGGCTTGCTAATACTAGAATCCTCTGGCATGCTCATGCTGGCTTAAGTAAACCAGAACTGAACTATTGTCAGCAGTCAACTTGATTCTGCCTAGCCAGCTTAGATCAGGTGCTACAAAAATAAGTGGTAGGTCTCTCCTAAAAAGATGGAGAGACTGTCAGTGCATGTAGTCTGAGTGAATGTCCTTGGGTAGGAGCATCCTGGGTTTTCAGAACATCTTCATCTCCAAATTCCTATTAGTCTTGGAGATTGAGATCCAGAGCACCATTTAATGGCTTACAGACACTTGGGGCAGCTCAGTTATTCTGCAGTTGAAGCTAAGGTCTGGCTCTATAAGCTGTCTGGATGGGAGACTACTTGGTTCCCATATGAACACTGCTCTGAGGTTTGTCATCTTAAGTTAATAATATCTTTTCAAGTGAAAGGTCATGCAGTAGACTTCCCCTTTGATATCTATATATGAGTAAGCTTTCTTACTGGTATACCCAGCTTGCAAGTCAGGATTGGCTCCTGAGGCAGCTTATAATTAAATTCTGCATCTGGGTAGGTTGTATTATAAATAGCAAAAGTGCTACGACAGCTGCTTTTTGGCCCCTGGGACTTGCTGCCATAGTTGATGGGTGTGAAGAAAGGATACAAAAGGGGAAGGTGCTGAAGATGGGCTAAAGGTCTGGTTGATAGTAAAGATGCTAACCCCAGAAGCAGCCTCTCTGTTACGTTTATATGGAGACCATGGGACCCCTTTGGAGTGGTTCCTAACCGTGTTCAGACAAGCCAGGCTCTCAGAGCCTTTGTTGTTAACACGGTGAAACTGTGTCTCTCTTGCCTTATCACCACTGGTTTCTTTTAGATGATGTACCCAGGTGTGTTTGTCGCAGGCCAGGTTGCCCGCTCGTTTTAGAATCAAGCCTGTTTTTTCTCCCCTTGTTCCATAGGTCCCCCTAAGTCTCTTGGAGAGTCTGGAATGCCCTTGCCCGTGCAACCACAGACTGCGCCACCCCAGCCTCCCACAGTGCTGTCCCAGGTGGGAGCCCCCCGCCTCCCGATACCCACTGGAAGCCAGTGTGCTTGTGTGTTGCGGGGGGCTCTCCATTTGCCATCGGCTTTTTATTCTCATTAGTTTTTTCCTTCACTGTCCCTGTCTTTATTGCCCATCATTTGTCGGCAGCTACATTCTCCTCTTCCCTGGACATTTCTGCTCAGCACCCACCAGGATCTGCCACCTCTGCGCTCTTCCTCCTCCTTCAACAGTTGGTGACGTTCATTTGATTTTTTTTTCTCTCTCCTGTGAGCATTTTTTTCTGTGCGTTTTACAGCTAAATCTTTACTTCTGTGTTTTGAGAGAGGGGTCTCCTTTTCGTTGATTTAGACATAAAAGGTTAAAAAAGAAAAAGAAAACACAAAAAGGGTGGGTGGGTGGGGAGTAGGGAGATATGTGAGCTAATCTGTTTGATTTAGCGTTTCTCAGGCACTCCTCTGAAATGGTGGAGGGTTATTGAAAATAGGGGAAGGATTGCATGTTGGTCTTGGAGATCTCCCAGAGTTCAGTGTGGAGGGTCTCTGTCATTCGCTAGCCCTCTCTCTGTTGCTCACTGTTTCTGGGTAACTCCTCAGTTGCAAGCAGGTGTTCTTTGACGGAAAGGAGGTAGCTTCTTTCAGTAACCTGCAGCAGTGGGGTTTACTTTTGATGGTGGCAAATCAGAGGATTAGACCATTCCTGCCCCCCAAAACACTGATTTTAATATGCGGCGCTCTTTTTCCTTTTTATCCCTCCCTCAGAGCAGACTCTTTCATATTGATCAGTTGAGCCAGGTCAGGAGGGGTCAAGATAGGGACTGGAAAGGGGACAGTCAGGCATTTTACGGGGGAAGGTGATGGAGATTTTGCTGGAAAGAAGCCGAGAAACCCTAAATCAGGGAGGGATGGGAACAGAAGTTTCTTCATATTTCTTAAAAGCATTTAATTTTTTTTGATATGTACAGCAAGGAGATTTTTTCTGTCAAATAAAAAACTTAAGAAATGCAGAAATTGTTGTTGAATCCCTGAGACTTTTCTCTGCGTCGTTTCTGGGGTTTGCCATAGTCAAATGAGACCTCCAGTGCCTGAGCAGGTGGGTTTCTCCTGCTATGCTGATTTTTTGTCTCAACAGTATCTTTCAGATGTTGATATTGGATGGCTTAGTTCATCTCTTGGCACATCCACTTTATAAAGCATAGCACTCCTTCCGTACTACATAGTCCTATCCAACATTAGACTGCTGTTGCTTCAGAGGAACATGGTTATTGATTTTACTTAGAAAGTATGCTTTGCCTCCTCCATATACCAGAGGTTGAAGCATATGGTAAAAATAAAAATAATTTAAAAAATAGCTTGGGCATGCACATCAGCCTAGTCCAGTCAAATGGTTCACAGTAAAAAGGAGCACTTCAGCATAAATGCTGTTAAGCATGAACTTAGCTGACTTTGCTGGGCAAATTTCACAGCCGTGTTGGAACCACAGCAGGAAAGCACTAGCTTTATTTCTTTTTAAATTGGTTAGGAAAGGGACTGAGCAGGCCCTGTTTAGTTGACTCTGGTTGGAAGGTATGATAGATACATACATGGAAGAGGGAGCCTGGTGTTTCTAAATAGAAGTAATAAAACCATCTTGACCTCCTTCATGTGACACATCAGATCAAGGAGGACAAATTCTATATGGAACAAGTTCTCAGAAATGACTGACCAAAACGACTCTGTATTCCCACTGAGTAACAGTGGGAGAAGTGAAGGCACTACACCACTTCTGATATGGAAAAAAAACACCCCTCTCAAACTCCTGCGCTTCATCCCAGTGGCTAAATTTGATACAAGCTTCTAATAGCAATGATTCTGCTGAAATAAGAACTAAGAAATATTTCTATCCTGACTGGTTATCTTGGATTTAGATTCCTGCCTGAAATGTGGGAAATGCCACTATTTCACATTTGATTGCTTTCTGTCATCTGTTAATCTAAATTGTCTTTTCAAAAAACATATTTCTTACAAATCTGATTTCCTTATGGAGTGGATCCTCCACCCCAACCTTAGCTGTTCCTCAAGAGAATAATGAATACTTCAGGATTCTTGTTTAAAATCGTGGGTGGGGTGGAGGGAGAAAAGGGAAGCAGCAGAAGCTGAGTTGCTTCTCTACTTTCTTGCCTAATACTAGTCTGCTCTTGCCCATATCACTCATTTTGTTATTTTGATCTCGAAAATGCTTTCCGTGAAGTTGTCCGGATTAGTGCATGTTCTTGTCCCCACTGGTTTGCTAAGACTGATGGCAATTCTTTGCCCCTTTCCTTGTACCGCTGAGAAAAACCTACCTGTTTTTACTATGCCAGGCCCACCTTTCCCATACCCAAAGTGATGTGTTTGTCCTACTGGCTCTTCAGCTGAATTTCTTTGTTCTGAGGGAAGTTGTTGCTAAATGGTTCTGCAAAATAGGTTTCTATGTACTTTGATGTCACTGCCTGCAAGTTCTGCATTTGAGGCATTCTTTGGCAAGACTCAGAGCATCAGCTTGCTGTTGTCCAATTGACTGTCTTCTCTCTCGCAGACCAAGAAGAATGTTTACTTTTAATTTTCCTCTCTGGGCAAAGCATACAAAGCTTATTCAACCTTTCTTTGTACTACTCATTTTTTGACCTTTGATAGACCTTTATGGTGCTCAACCAAATAATCATAGAAGGGCTGTTGTGTTCCTTGCAAGGTCTGTTTTTATAACTCCCTTTTTAATGGCAGGCCCTTATGCCATATCACGTTATATCAGTGATTCCAAAACTTACGTAGCTTGGAAGGTGCTGCTTTTTAGTGATGTGTAAGGCCTAAAAGCCCCTTTGTGCCAATAGAGCTAGCTGTGTTTTCCTTTCAGATCTCAGCCAATGACTTTATATGTGAAGAAGATAGCATGAATGATCTAAAACGCAAGTTCCCTTTCTGTTGCTGCCTCATGATACTCCCTCCTCGTCCCCTGGTTTGCCCTTTTGGTTTTTCTTTTATCAACCCTCTTTACTCTTGTCATATGACACATCAGCGAAGTTTAAAATGGGCTTTGCTTTTCAACATGAAACAGAAAGTGTCTGTCTCATGTAGGCTAGAAATGTTTGAAGTTTAGGGCCTGAGCTTGTACTTATTTGAAATAAGCAAATATTAGCTGTGTCACTTTTGGAAAAAAATGGTATAACAAGTTAATGAACATTTATTTTTGATGTGTCTTGGTCTGTTGAGCAGAGAATAGGAAATACATGCATTTATGTAGAAGAGTTTTTTTCTACCAAGCTGGTTTACAATTTTGAATACTAAAAAATTACAAAACAGTTTTCTCATCTAAGAGGAGACAGCACAAGCTCCCTGGCCTTCTACCTTTTTTTCTGCCTTCCCGTGGGGCACATAGGTCTTATATAGTCCCAGGGAAGGTGTGGGGACTGTGAATGATGGTAATTTTGCTTCTTCCTTGTCTCGGGACTCATCAATCTTGAGGCAAGGGAAAGTGGGATGTTGCTGAATGGAAAGCCAATTGGGGATTCTAAGATTGTACAGACTTAACAGAACTCTCCTTTCTCCTTGTCGTCTGAACAACTGCCAGTTCTTTGCAGTTTGTTTTCATTCTCATTGAGGCTTATGTGCTTTTAATTTTAGAATGAAAATAATAATCTTGGTTCGTAAGGTCCTAAGCAAGAGGGCCACAATTAGCAGAACAGCTCACAGCTTGCTTTCATGGTGCTTGCTTTGTATGCCTGCCTGCCTTTGGTGTTTGTGTAGTGATGCTGTGAATTTGCTTTCACAATGAGATACTTAGGGGGACCCTACACAGTTAGTTTAATTAAATGTAATGGGCTACATCCAGATAAGGTTTTTTTTTTTTTTAAACTTAACTGGGGGGAGATTGCTTAGTCATGACTAGCCTTTTCCATTTATTTCAGTGGGAGCTAAGTGCAGCTAGATCTTCTCTGATCCAGCTAGATGGTTTTGCGTCAGAAGCCAGGAAAGGCATAGTTCTGATTCTTAATGATACTTTACAAATAAGCTGCCTGTGTGAAATCCAGACCCAGACCCTCCTTTGTTCCATCTTACCCAGAACGTTTCTACCTTCAAGAATAAACAACAACTATACAATTGTATCAAGATTGATTGTTTATTTAAAAATGATATAAAGTTGGTGACAGCTATGAAGTACATCTGATTGTGTCAAGCACATAGCCACAGCTAATTGACCTCCAGGCAATTCTGGTAACACCCCCCCCCCCCAGCAAAACAAACCCCACTGTGATTACAATGGTGAAGTCCATTAAGCTTGTGCTGGACTGGGAAGGGCTTTATAATTGGCTTATATTTATTATTTATTTATTGATTGATTTATAGCCTGCCTTTTTCCTATAAAGGGCTCAAGGCAGCTTACATCTTCTCCTCCATCTTATCCCCACAACAACCCTTTGAGGTAGGTTGGGCTAAGAGTCTGTGACTGGCCCAAAGTCACCCAGTTGGCTTCATGGCTGAGCAGGGACTAGAACCCAGGTCGTCTGAGGCCCAGTCCCATGCTCTTAACTACTACACCACACTGCCTTCTGTGTACATTTTTCAATGGAAGCAATTCTCAGGATTTTTGCTTCTCGGCTTGTATATAGGCTAGGACAGGAAGTCCAGCATGAAGGGATGGTGGCAATGTTGTGTAAGGAAATTAGGTATAGGCAAAATCATTTTTTGTACATTCTTACTTGGTGCCTTCCAGATGTTTTGAACTCAACATTTCCCAGACTGATGAGGGATATTGGAAGTTGTAGCCCAACGTATGTGGAGGGCACTACAGTGGGAAAGGTTGCCCCAGGCAGAACAATTTTGGTTTTTCCTTACCTGCTGTCCATGCATTGTGTTCTTTCTCTCAAGTTTCATCCCACCTGTAGTTGGGAGTATCACATGTGTGGTATTTGGGAGAAGATAGGTATGGTGATGGAGCAAGAAGGTGTGTGTGATGCTTTCTACAATCACATGATTCTTCCTTCACTTTGTGCTCCCCAGCTCCCTTCCCCGTTCTTCTGCTGGGCTCTCCTTGTTGCCTCCGTTGCTCACAGTACACTCATCCATAAAGTAGGAAACACTACACTTGGACACGAGCGTTTAGTAGTGCTTTCTACTTTATGGATGAGTCCACTGTCTTTAAAAGCTGCATGCCATAACAGGCTCTCAGAGTTGTCTTCAGTGCCAATCATTTCTGTGCTGGCCCTCCCCTGTTGTCTCCCCTGACCCCACCCGCTGGCAGCTCCCTGGTTGTGAAATAACAGGGAGACACTTGCAGGTCTGGGAGGTTTGACTTGACATTGTCTTGCGGGGTTGGGTGAGACAGCATGGTTATAGAATGCAGAACATCCTCACTACCCAGATGGGCTCACAGTCTACATCAGGTTTATGCTGCTTCAGGGAACAGAACAAAAGGGTGAATAAATCAAATCTCTGTGTTTACAGCTTGTACCACACACACACACACACACACACGAAATGGCAAAGAGGCCCAATTCCTTCATGCCTACTAATACTTGTACTTTGCTCCGATACCCAGTTTCTACCCTTCTACTTGGGCGGACACTCTCATATACTCTGCATGCAGAAAACTCAAATTCAGTCATTTCCTGAATTAGGGCATATGTACAAAAAGGAGAAAGAAACTGGAAGAAGTAAAAGAACACCCCAGCTCCACCACCCTCAGGCATCTAAAGGTCTCTTGCTGTTTTAATAAACCTCATCCTTCCTTTCTTGCTCTCCTACATCCCTGCTGGTCATATTGTCCATTTTTTTTCAAAGCCTAGCTTTTCTGTGAGGCATTGAGCCTAGCTTTCTAGAGCTCAGCCCAAGTGCATACAACCGAACTGAATGCATCTTGTTCCCCTCTTCACATTCACTGGTCTTTCTGTTGACACTCTATAAATAAAGCATCAGGCAGATTGTGCTATTTAAATAACTAATACAGGGAAAAAAATTGGAGATGGTGGGACAAAAGATACTGCTCCAAATCCTGCTCTTCTAACCTTGCCTTCTGCCTTCTGGAAACTTTGCTACTGCCTTCTGGAGTGGGGGTGGATTCTAAAACCCATTGAGTTCTGGTTTACCTGACATGGACTAATTCCCAGAGCTGGGGACAAAGCCAAACATCCTGACTGAATCTTCCTCTGATCAAAAAACACCCATCTTCCAAAAAGACTGGACTCCTAGTTACCAGGCATCAGTTCCCACAACCTGCTCTTTACCACTTTCTCTAACTACCTAGCATTTTCTATGTAGCGTGTGGAAATCTAGAGAGCAATTGGTGAGAATGCTTTGTTAGAGGTGATTTCCTGTTCCTGTTCCTGTTTTTTTTTTTTTAAAGCTGGAGTGGGTCATTCATTTTCAGACAAGGAACTAAGAAGAACATGCCAAGGGAAATCAGTTGTGAAAAATGTCTTTGGTATTACATTTTTACCCTTGGTTCCTTAACCTGGAAGTGTTTTCCTGGTAGAATTAAATAAAAAATAGCTTTTTCTTGGGTATTGTAGGGACTTAAGAGCTTGAAGCAGGTCCATGTAAAGAGCTTTGGCTCTTTCTGGCAAGATTGGAGAGATGATCCCTTGGCCTATATGTCCACATGCTAATTTTATAGGGTTTAAAAAAGCCATGCTCCTAAGTAGAAAAATATTTTATTTCTGTTTTTACTTGGGGTTTTTTTGGCAAACTAGTGCCATTTTTAATAGCTCCAACAGACATAATTGAGTTTTAAAATTAACATTTAAATATAAGGGGGTAGGCTCCAAACCCCCTTGGCTGAAAAAAGTTAATAATCCCTTACTTTGTTAATCCATTGGGAAGGTTTGGATGATACGTTGCACCCAGGGTGCCCCTACAGCCACCCTGATCTTAAAAATGCCCTGGGAGCCCCAGCTGTGCCTGACAATCAGGTGCAATGGGGGCCTCAGACACTGGCCTCCTCACTCCAGTCCACCCAGGGGGCTGCAGTGCTGGAGCAGGATGACAGTTGCCTAAAAGGGGCATTTTTGGCAGCTGTCCTCCCTGCATTCCTGTCGCTGTGAGCAATCCCACTCTCCTGGCATTGGCGGGAGTATGGGGAAGGGAACCTGCCATGGGGTGGTGTGAGCTGTCTCTGAAGGGCCACCTCACCCTGGACTTAGAGCACGAGGCAGCCCTTCCTTCTCTGCTGCTCTGCCTTGGTGAGCGGTAGGGAAGGGGCATGGGCCCCCTTGCACTGGGCTCTGAAGGAAGGGCAGCCTTTCCTTCCTCGACACTCAGCTGCTAACTGCCCCACCAACTCCAGCAGCAGCATTCTGACTAGTGTGGCTTGGGGAGGAATTGTACCTGTCAGGACTACACATCTGTAGGGTGCTGATAGGCAGAATTCTCTCCCTAACCCTGCCAGTGAGAATTTCACCATTGGGTTGGAGGGGTGTTTTGCTGCTACTCTTAAGGAAGTGAAGCTTCCTTCTCCAACTGTGCACCTCTGTTGTCTCCTGAGTAGGGCTTGAGAAGGAGGGTAGCCAGTGGCCAGAGTGGTAATCCTCCTTTGCCCCTCTCACTAAGTAACCTGAAGATTTTTTGGCTTGATCATGCCTTGGCGTGTCATTTGGGTTTGTACAGCATGCTAAGCCATGGAGGATTTCCTAAACCCTACAGTAAGCCATGATTTCTTGGGCTTATAAACCACCCCAAGGGAAGCAGAGATGGCTTACATGATGTGTTCCCCTCTCCTCCATGTCTTAGTGTGTCATGTGAATTCAGTCCTTGCTAGAAACATACCTCACTGGTGGTCTGGGTTTTGTTTCAGAGAGTTACCTTGCATCCCCCCTCACTAAATTACAGAAATACAGCTCAAAATCAGTAAAAATAGCTATAAAAACCGCAAACAATGTATTAAAAAAGCTAAGTGTTGCCCACAAGCTAAGTATGGCAGCTTGCCAGCGTCCTCTGCTGTTGTACAAGCTCATAAGTTGGGGGTTCTAATGTTTATCCAGAATAAACTTCAGGATGTTAGATTTTTTAACAAATCTAACAAATATTATTTGTTTCTATTCTAATTGTGTTTGGGCAATACAGGCAATTGGGGCAAATGCAGTAATTTCATTAATCCTCCAATTTTAAATAAAAGTCAAGGTTTTATAAATAAACTGTAGTACAACATATGCGGTATCATTATCCTTGTTTAACTGCTATTCTTCTGTTTAGGAAAATATTTTTTCCATAAAATGGCAGCATAAAGGTCAGCTATGAACCAAGAGGTGACATGATTAATATGTTAATAGGCAGCAAGAACCGACCTGGAGACCTAAACACATTTACTTGGAAGTAAGCCGCCCCAGTTTTGGTGGGACTTCCTCCCCAGGAAGATGTAGTGTGCTGTAGCCTTTGTTCAGTGATCAGTGGCACAAAATGGCGGTGGGAGCATGTTGTGCCTTTCGAGTTCAGTTCAGCTGCACTCCTACGCTCACTGAACTTGGGCGTCAACCTGACTGAGTGCAGCAAGACACTTCTGAGCTAAAGACCAGCGGAAGGGCCTTTGGGATGCAGTCCTGTACCTGTTAACCTACGAGTAACCCAAGCAAACCCAGTGGGACTTTTGACTCAACAAAATGAATTGGATAGTTAGAATTTTTCTCCATGACAGAGCCAAAGGCCTTTGCAAAACAGTTTGTCCCCTGCGGTACAGTAATCTGTAGCCATACGTTTGATTTTTAAAAGAGCAGGGAAGAAAGTTGGATGAAGGTCATTTTCCCTTCCCCCAAAATTAGTTTTCTGCCAAAGAAATCATGGCTTTGGTCAAAACTCTATAGCACTCGGGGAACATGAAGATGACCTGATGACAACCGTTTGCTCAGATCTTTATCTCAGCTTTCCCTAAGCTGATGCCCTCCAGATGTGTCGGACTACAAACTTCAACTAGCTAGTGATGTTGGAGTTCAACATATCCGGAGGGTGCCAAGTCAGGAAAGGCTAACATGCATGTACTTATTTTTCTCTTATCTTCCCCCCCACCCCTGACCCTACAACCTCTTGCCCTTATTTGGAGGTTTTGGCTGGATCTCATAATGCATTAACTCATATTACTCGCTCCAACTGCCAGTGCTTTTTCAAAATACCCCTCTAC